TTTTCAGACAAGTTGTAAAATAGAGGACTTCTCCATGTGTGGATATTATCAATTATATACAACTTTTTGTATCAATAGTGGTGGTAGTCTGTGTGCTTTCTCCAAATTCCCATTATATCTGCTTACCTAAATTCCATTCTAAATTTAAGATATATAGTTCTAAGCAGGTTGACTTATTATTTAATAAAATAATGTGTTTGATTCAGATGTGAAAAATAATCCATTATGAAGCCCTTATGAGGTGAGGTAGAAAAGTAAACACCTCAAACTGGTTTGGGAGAAGAAAATTATATAAAGCATAATTTAAGTCCTATGTTCCAACCAGAAAAGAGGTGATTCCTGGATACAAAACAAAGAAACAAAGTTTTTATTAAGTGGTGTGCACACATTAATTAGATCTGAATGTTCTACGTCTCTTTGTCCTCTGTTCCTCTCACAGCAACACTGGGTTGCAAAACTAGTCTTCCCATTATGATGCTTTTTATAATTTTTGCAATAATATTTCCTACATTTCTTTGTTTGGTATTAATATTTACCAGATTTTGTAGTTGAGAGGTATGTCATACAAAATTGTAAACCTGTAAAAATCCCACTTTTTAAAAAGTTGAATGTCACATGAGAAGATTGCTGTCACTTGAAGATGACCATTCATCCCAGAAAATGTATAAGCGATAGAAATTTTGTAGAAAAGCAAGAAGGGATTGAGATCTGTATGAAATGTATTAGTTTCATGTTGGAATAAAGGTTTCCTGGTATGCTGTTTCTTTTTCACCTAGTGTAATGAGCTAGAAGGTGGTTTATATGGCATCAGTATCTATGAAGGGGTTGATTCACCACTAGTGCTTCCTTATGACCAGGTATTGCTTAGTAGTGCTCTCCCTATCCAGTGCCTCCTGTTGATGGTGGACATGGCCTTCTGTCTAGGTCATTTTAAAGTCTCTCCTCTTCTAGGGCAATTAATGAAGAGAAAATGGAGGAATTAACACAAATGAATCATCCTTAATTGGGTTAAATCTCTTCTTTCAGACATCACTCATCTGTCTGTGGCCTTAAACTGAATTGACATGTCATAGAAGCGAGTGGTTCTTTCTCCAGGAGAGTTAGCATCTGGCCCTCCCTTCAGGAAAGGACTTTTGGGCTGCAGGCATCTGGGAAGTTCCTGGTTTCAGTTTGCCTTCTCTCCAGGAGCTGAGTATTGAAGGTCAGCTCTGTTCCTTGGTCTGCCGTCATCTGACACTAGTGTATCACTCTTAAACTGTTCCCTCCAATCCTAACATCTCTCATGGTGAATTGGGGTGGAAATAACCTGAGCCCACGTTACTTCCTTAGAGAAGTGCTAGATGTTTGCTTCCAGAGGCGAGTCTGTCTATTCTTGGCCCTTTAGCTATACTGAGTAGTGTTGGATTACACAACTGACTCATTAGATTTAAAGTAACCTTCCTTTCTCCTTCATAGAATTGTCTCTTCAGCACACAGTAGGCCAGGGCTACTCAACGTGCGGCCCATGGGCCACATGCAGTCCATGACCTGTTTGTTTGCGGTGTTGTTTGGGTTTATGCAGGGCTCAACACGTGGTTCACAGGTGGTATCCTTTGAACATGGCCTCCACTGGGAACACGCTTAATATTGGCATCAAGTATCAGAAGGGTAGCCGTGTTAGTCTGAATCTGCAAAAGCTGCGAGGAGTCCTGTGGCACCTTATAGACTAACTGAAGTGTAGGAGCCTAAGCTTTCGTGGGCAAAGACCCACTTCGTCAGATGCATGTAGTGGACAACTTGTAGTGCTAGTCAAGCGGAGACCAACTGTGTCCTGACAGACAAATGTGGACCATGGCATGGGGATCCCCATCACATCCCCATGCCATGGTCCACATTTGTCTGTCAGGACACAGTTGGTCTCCGCTTGACTAGCACTACAAGTTGTCCACTACATGCATCTGACGAAGTGGGTCTTTGCCCACGAAAGCCTTATGCTCCTACACTTCAGTTAGTCTATAAGGTGCCACAGGACTCCTCGCCGCTTTAATAATGGTGAGTCAATATCATAGAGTCATAGAATACTAGGACTGGAAGGGACCTCGAGAGATCGAGTCCAGTCCCCTGCTCTCATGGCAGGACCAAATACTGTCTAGACCATCCCTGATAGACATTTATCTAACCTACTCTTAAATATCTCCAGAGATGGAGATTCCACAACCTCCCTGGGCAATTTATTCCAGTGTTTGACTACCCTGACAGTTTACTTAATGTCCAACCTAAACCTCTCTTGCTGCAGTTTAAGCCCATTGCTTCTTGTTCTATCCCCAGAGGCCAAGATGAACAAGTTTTCTCCCCCCTCCTTATGACACTCTTTTAGAGATCTGAAAACTGCTATCATGTCCCCCCTCAATCTTCTCTTTTCTAAACTAAACAAACCCAATTCCTTCAGTCTTCCCTCACAGGTCATGTTCTTTAGATCTTTAATCATTCTCATTGCTCTTCTCTGGACCCTCTCCAATTTCTCCACCTCTTTCTTGAAAATGGTCTTCTGTTGATATGCGTTTTAGTAGTTGAATTTCTGGACTGTCATTGCTCGTTAAAAGTGTTGTGGATATCGAGAAAATACTGCATTTTATTAATATCACAGAACTGACTTAAATGAGGCCTGTGTGTTGTATAGTCTTTGTATTCATGCCTGTCAGTGTGAAAGAAGCTATTTGCATATATATTTGCGTGTACATGCAATCAATCACACTTAAGTTGCAGCCCTCGGCATGTGCTGTGAATATCATTGGTGGCCCCTGGCGCTTCTAAAGTTGAGTAGCCCTGGTGTAGTCAATTAGTGGTAGTAATACCCAAATAACATCTGAATTCTTCAATCTTTATTGAGACAGAGAAATACTTACATGAGTAATCTCCATTTTGGAGGAATGTAATTTAAAAAATTCTAAACCATTCCAGTTGTACTGGTTTTGCCTTCCCTTGTTTGTTGAAGGGGAGACTTCATGTTCATATGCTATTGTGCAGGCAAAGGAAAACTGAGGTTGGAGATCCATTGCAACTTTCTCTAGAACATTTGGTCATGGCAAGTCACTGTCTATGTCATGCAAAATAATACAACTTCAGGTAGCTCTGGTGTTTGATGGTATATACACAGATCTTATAGTCTGAATTTGTGAAGGAATATTTTATTAATAAATGATAATAGTATTCCTTTTCACAGTCAGAGTACTTTACCTATAGAGTTTATGGCCAGAGAGGACTGTTAGATATTCTAGTCCAGGGGCAGACAATAATTTTTGATTGGGGGACATTCAGAAATTTTTGAAGTGGCCCTGAGTTTCCCTGGAAGGGGTGGGGCCTCAGGGAGAAGGGGAGGGGACAGGATGCTTGCATCCTTCCCCACCCGCAGACCCTGATTGAACCACCAAGAGAACCACCAGCTGTTCTGAACAGCTGGCAGTTCCCTCTAGGCACCCGTGCCCCTGGTGGTGGGAGGAGACTTTGCGCATTCTCCCCTGCCCCCAGGCTCTGATTGGCCTGAGGGTGGGGGAGCTGAGCTGCAGGACTTCCATGGGCCAGATCAACCTGCTTGGCAGGCCGGATCCAGCCTGCGGAGGCCCTTTTTCCCACCCCTGTTCTAGTCTGACCTTTTGTATATCACAGGCCATTATATTTCACTCAGTTATCCTGTATTGAGCTCAGTAACTTGTGTTTCGACTCAAGCATGTCTTTCAGAGAGACATCTAGTTTGGATTTGAAGATGTCAAGACATGGAGAATCTACCATTTGCCTTTGCAGTTTGTTCCAGTGGTTAATTACAGTCACTATTGAAATAAATAAATGTGTCTTGTTTCTGTTTGAATGTTTCTACCTTCAGCTTCTAGTCATTGGCTATTATGACTCCCATTTCTCCACTACATTAAAGATTCCTTTGGTATCTATTTTTTTCTTTCTTACTTTTCAATTAAGACTATAAAATAAGAGAGATGCTTGGGGCTTAAGTAAGAGTAGAAGACAACCCTAAATAGATGAGTATGTCAGTGTTTGAGCTTGCATTCTTGGCAGGGAGGGGAATTATTTTCACATGGTAAATCTTCAGAACTATAGTGCAAAGAAAAAATGGTTTCTGGTATTACATATTGTACACAATTATCTTTTTCAATATACTTTATGAAGGAGAAAGGAAGGTTGCTTTAAATCTAATGTGTCAGTACATTCTGAAAACTGACTATATGAGAGATACTGTAATTTAGAAATACCTTTTTATAGAAATGACTTAGTTCTCTAGAATTAAGGACAGTTGGCATGAAATGTTTTTGAAGTAACCTGTTCAATATAGTGGTTACTGGAGATGTTAGAAGAAGGCACATTTAATGCTGGCTAAATAAAGATGAAATATTTACAAGTGCAGTTGCTTAGCTTACTTATATTCACTGTATAGATAGCTTCAAGTATCCAGATTTAACTGTGATGTAAAGATATAGGGGTTGATTCTCCTCACAAATGAGTTTTACCATGGAGTCCTTTCCAGTGATTTTCATGGAGTTGCAGCTAATTTATCCTCTGACAAGTGGAGAAGAATCAGATTAATTTTTGTACAAGTTCTTTATTTCATACCAGTAAAAGGGGTTTAAAAGCACTTTGCTACTGGAATACCATGCACTATTACAAAGCAAAATGGTAGGTAAACTAGGAAAAATTACGCTGTATTGGCATTTAAAGCTTGAAATACTCTGTTTTCAGTTTTTGTTCGGTGCAGCAAGCCATAAGTAGAGAGCAATAACCTGTATAGTATTACATACAGATTTTCTTATATTTTAGGATACAGCAGCACTTAAAATAGAGGAAAAAAATAAATGTGCACATAGCCATGTGATGGCAGTAGGAAAAATCTTTTAGCTAATCCCAGATTGGAATTTGGGCAAATGTTAGTCTTTTAAGATTTATGTAGGGATAAGTGACATCAAGCAAAAAAAGTACATGCGGTAAACTCGATTTTACATTTTAATTTTATTCAGAGACCACGATGCAGACGTCCGAGACTGTGTCGGACACAGGTTCAACAGTGACTTTACAGACATCTGTGGCTGGTCAGGCAGCGGTGCCCACACAGGTAGTACAGCAAGTGCCAGTGCAGCAACAGGTAGGTGACTGGTAGTCTTGGAAAAAACATGGAAAGTAAAGTCATAGCTGTGCATTTCTTTAGATGTAGTGGACTGAATTTGTATAGATCTGCTAAAAGGACTCTTCTGCCTGCTTTAATCCATTTTATATTGCTAAAGCCAAAAGAGCTACATAAAAAGACACTTTGCTAGGATTTACTCATTGAATAAGATCATCAGGACATTTATCAGAGGCATTAAATCACCCGAAATATATATGTGGCAGTAATAATAGATAATATAATAATGCAGGTAATATAATTTAGGATTATTCTGAATTATTAAATATTCACATTTATTTGAAAGGTTAATAAGAAAAATATTCCTAATATTAATAGCCAGATTCTTTTCCCTGTTTGTTTTGCCTCCTTGAATCATGTAAAATAAATGCAAAATGAGAATTACTTTGCACTTCTATTCTATCCTTCCTAAAGATTCTTTCACAACTCCTATAATGAGTACTGGGAAAAGACCATAAGCAATTCAGCAGAATGTTTTTCTTGTTAAGAAGTTTTATTCTAAACACTGATGACATCCTTGGCTTGAAAGTCCCACCTTAGAATTCATTTCAGCAGCAGAGCCTGTGTAAGATCGACAGTGTAAATTGAACTGATTTGGGGGAATAGGTAATTCGATGCAAAAGTTATGTCCTATATTTAAAATAGTGTCCACGCTTTTTTCATACATGTAAATAAATCAGAATTTAGTCATGAGTGTTTTGGGAAGTGTGACATTGATGTTATCTTGCTCTGAAAACTGGCTTTAAATAATTATAGAGTCATAGACATTAGAAATGGAAAAGACCTTTTAGATCATGTAGTCTGTTTTCTTGCCAAAGTAGTCTTATTCCTAATAGTAAACAGTTGCTAATATTTTGTCCAATTTAATGTTAAAATCCCAGGTGACATTGGTGACATGCTTTGTGCTTTTCATTGTTGATCAGTTTCTCTTGGTAGTCAGAATTAACTTTTAATTTTATCCCATTACTTTTGTGTATATTTCTATGTATACTATGGAATAATTCTGTTTCCATATTTCCATGTAAGATATTAATTAATCTTAAGCACGCCGCTAACGTTGGGCACATGCTTTAAAATCATCTCTATTCAGCAAAGCACATAAATCCCTTGCCTAATAGGATGTCATTGTGTACTTACCTGCTTTGCTACATAGGAAGGTCCTATGCATTAAAGTTAAGATTGTAACAAAGTGCTTTTGCTGAGTATGGGCCTTCGTGTTAAGATCTTTCATTATCTTTGGACTGTTTGCTTTTTTTGTCTCCTTCTTCCTTTTAGCTTTTGTTTAGCTAATGTATAATATGTATTTAGTTCTTCTAATTTTTCCTCATAAATTAATTCCTTTACCTCTATCATCAGTTGTGTAGATCACTTGTTTGCTTTTTTATACTGATTCCATTTTTTTCTATCAATAGGGTGCTAAGAACAGAATAAAATAAACTAAGTCAGGTTGCAGTGTCCTCTTACCTATCAGCTCTGATGTGATGCCTTAGTGCAGTGATGGGCATCCTGTGGCCCAAGGACCGTATATGGACCACCAGGATTCTGTGTGCAGCCCAGAAAACATTTTGTTTGCCATTACTCATGCACATGGTTGCCAGATGCCACTGGTTTCCATCTGTTATTTTTTTCATACCAGTATTACTAAAGTGACATGCTTTTAAAACGGGCATGTGAAGTGAGATGTGTGCTGACTGCACACAACATAGACCGTGAGAGCTGTGCGCTCCCTTTGCATCCAATCAAGGCACTGCTGTGGTTCAATTGACATACCCCACAAATTCTAAGTACACAAGAGCAGTTAGCAAAACTACCCTGTCCTAGGAGACTATCTTGGTTACGATAGTCTTGCGACCTATTGAGATGGAGGGCCGTTCATGGGGTACATTCGCTGGCCTAGGTTCCTATCACTGCCTTAGTGTATGCAGGCATCTGAAAGTCATATTTTTGCAGCCATGTAGCAATACGCGAGTTTGTATATTTTGCAGGCCACTATCAACTTTAGTTCTTTTCACAATTATCCCTGTGAGTGCTTCACTTTAGGTGTACGTATGCACCTCAAATAAGAGATTGTTGGTAGCAATATCTGAATGGTCCATGCTACCTATGTTCTGTACACCTTCTTGCTCTGATCTGAGTCTCTTGTCTGATCAACAGCTTTGACTTGTCTAGAGCATATCTTCATCACTCCAGCTCTAGTGGGTAGGAATCATGGGGTATTTCCAGAGAATAGCTCAGAGGTCTCAAAAAGATGAGCCATAAGCCTCCTGATGGAGAAGCTTTGAAGAAGAGGGGATAAATTGTGTTAAATATCTGTTAGGAAGGAGACATTGCATCCTTCTGTGGGTATAGTTGAGGCTCCTGTGCTGAGCTTCCTGCACTGACTAAAAAGACTTTAAGTGCTCCCTTTTCTGAAAAATCCTTTGGAATGTAGATTCATCTGATTCTAATTGTGGAATATAGCATAAAGGCTCCATCATCACAAAGAGTTGGGTATTGGCATCAGCTCCTCTGCTTCCTGTCTCTTCACTAGGGCACAAACACATGAGGTGTTCTGTTCATGTCCTTATGCCATCTTTGGTACCAGGGTAGACTAAGCTCTCCTATGTCTTGCCTTCCTAATTCTAAGCAGATTCCAGTTTCTGAGGGATCTCCTACTATTCAAGGAGCCTGATTTTCCCCCTGCTGATAGATACTGAAGGAAATGATGTGGACCCGGGCAGTGGGTGAAGGAAGGGCTGGGGGGTGCAAGCCTCTAGCCCCACCTCCAGCCCTGCCTCTTCTGCTGGGGCTCTGCCCTCCCCGGGAGCCAAACCATCCCCCTCAACGCTATTCTGGAGGTTGCCAAAGAGATCTGGCAAACTCCAGCTTCTGCACCTCCAACTAGTAAGAAGGCCAAAAAGAAATACTTTGTACCCCCGAAGGGCATGGAATTTCTTTTCACTCACCCCCAGCCCAACTCCTTAGTAGTCGATGCGGCCCACCAGAGATGAAAGACACCCCAATACAGACATATCTCTACTGATCGAGAGTCTAAGAGACTAGACATACTGGGGAGAAAATTATATACATCTGCCACACTTATGCTGAGAATGACTAACTACTCGGCACATCTTTCCAACCACGTATTGAACACTTTCTTGCAACTCACACCACTGATGGACCATTTGCCGGAATCAAAAAGGCCGATACTAAAGTCCGTGGTGCAGGAGGGCTATACCTCTGCAAGAACAGCCCTGCAAATGGCTATCGATGTGGCAGACACAGCAGCCCGCTCCACGGCCACTGCAGTAGTTATGTGCCGAGCATCCTACCTGCAGGCAGCTGCGGTCCCAAAAGACTTCTAAAGTAAATTTGAGGACCTACCCTTTGATAGAGACAGACTATTTTCCGAAAAGACGGACACTGTGCTGCATTCATCAAAATATTTATGCACGACCCTTGGCACGTTGGGCATGTATGCGCCCCCGTACAGAAAGCACCGGTACGTATCCTTCCAACACCAATATGACTATCCTTATGTACGGCAACAGTGGCAGCAGTGTCAACAGCACCGACAGTGAAACTTTGAACAGCAGCACCCATGCCAGAGACCACAAAGGCGCCGAAACTTCAGCAACTGAGCGCAAAACCCTTTGAACAACAAACAGCAGGTTTGATGTTCTGGTCGCGGGTACGCAAACAACCGTTTCCAAAAGCAGCAATCTCCACATCCTCACCTTCCATCACCGTCTCAGCCGATTTTACCACCATTGGGTCTCAATCACGATGGACAGATGGGTGTTAGAAATTGTTCACTCAGGCTATTCCATCCCATTCCTGACCGTCCCTCCCACTATCCCCCCCCCCCAGGCACCCCCTTTGCAGGGACCCATCTCACGAGGCCCTGTTAGAGGCCAAAGTAGTGCATCTGCGATTACTGGGAGTAATCAGATCAGTCTCTGACGATTTCAAGGGCAGAGGTTTCTACTCCCACTATTTCCTCATGCAGAAAAAGTCAGGAGGATGGTGACCAATATTAGATCTGCAATGGCTGAACAAATTTCTACGAAAACAACAATTCAAAATGTTAACACTTGCTGCTATAATCCTGGCTTTAGAACACAACGATTGGCTTGCTGCCCTCAACCTCCAGGACGCGTATTTCCATGTGGCAATCTACCCAGCCCACAGAAGATTTTTGAGATTCACACTCGGCGAACATCACTATCCGTACAAAACCCTGCCATTTGGACTTTCATCCGCCCTCAGGGTATTCTCAAAAATCCTGGCGGTGGTTGCAGTGCATTTACTCTACCAAGGAGTAATCATATTCCCATACTTTGATGATTGCCTGATCAAAGGCCGGACTAGTACCGAGGTGATCAGAACGGTCGATGTAGTCAGATGCACCTTCCACACCCTGGAGCTTCTCATCAATGACCAAAAGTCCACTTTTCTTCCAACTCAGGACTTGGAATTCATCGATGCCCGTCTGAACGTGATTTCAGCGAGAGCATTCTTACCCCTCCAAAGCTTCTATACCATTCAGGAGCTTATAGGAATTGTCTGGGAAAGCCCAACCGTTCACATTATCATGAAATGCCTACGCCTTATGGCCATATGACTGCCACCACATACATGGTACGCCATGCCAGGCTACATTTCCACAGCCTTCAACACTGGTTGGCACAAGTATACAACCATACCAAGCACAATTTACACAGGTCAGTAACTCCTCCACAACCGGTCCTCAGATCACTCACATGGTAGATGACCCCAAAAAATCTCCTCACCGGCGTTCCCTTTCATCAACAGCAACCTTCGCATCTCATCACTACCAACACCTCTCTCCTCGGATGGGGTGCACACATGGGGTCTATGTCCGTACAAGGCCGATGGACGCCAGCAGAATCACACCTCCATATAAATCTCCTCGAGCATCAAGCAATATACAATGCTTGCAAACATTTTCACAAGCATAT